GCGCCCGCGCGAGCCCTCCCGGGCGAGCCGCCCGCCTCCATGTGGGAGATCGCCGAGGGGCGCCGCGCGCCGCCCCCGGGCCGCGACCTCCACACTGCTCCTGCCCCACCCCCTCCCGGTCTCCCGTTCGTCCTTCTCCCGACTCGGCTCGACGCCGCCAGCCCAACCTACCCCCTTTTACTTCAGATACCCTGACGGGCGATAGTAATGCTGCCTCCGGTGCTCCTGGGCTCCAGTCGTGCGAAGGGAGAAGCCGTTCCCTTCGCGAAGCGCTCCGCACAACGGTTTTCCTAACCGTCTCCGGCGGCGGCACCCTCTCAGGAAGCTGCGCAGCGCAGTGACTGGCCTGGGGGGATGGGAGGGAGCGGGCGAGGAGCGAGGGCTACGGAACGCGGCCGCCCTGCTCTCGCGAGACCAGAGAAGCGCTTCCGCCCCGCGGCGGGCCGCACGGAGTACGCCTGCGCAAGGACTGACGGCCGGACAGGCTGAGAAAGAGGGGTGGGCCAGTCTGGCTTGGTTACGTTAGAGAAAGCGCTACGGCGAACTCCGCCTCTCCTGCTTTCTAGCTCACCTTACAGCCATCTAATTGTCAGAGCCCACCTTTCTGCCCCCTCGGGGAGGACGTGAGGTGGCATTCGCAGCCCTACCCGTGGGTGTTGAAGAACGGACCCCGCCCTCGCCCTGCGCGGCCGGGAGCCACGCGGTACGGCCGCCGAACTGCGCGGGGGCGCGCTTTTCTCATCCACCATATTTGCGTTCTGCAGTGAGAAGCGAGAGCGTTTCTCGGCGGCCGGGAGACAGGTGCTGGTCGGGCGCGGTGGAGGCTGTCAGCCAGCTTCCTCCCGCTGCGTCCCAGCGCCCCGAGCTGCCACCCGCCAGGACCCGGGCTGACTGCCCGCCGACTGCGGTAGTTTCCCTTTTTCCTCAGCGCCTCGGGGCAGGGGGCTTAGGATTGTATTCTAAGCAGAGCTTTGTATTCTTGCAAGTCACGTTCACAAGTGACACGAAATATACTCTGGGTGTGCTGTAAGCCATCAAGTTTATACCCCCTCACTTTTCAAAACAAATGTAAGCCAAGTGTCTGCGGGAAGGTGGAAGGCAGTCCTGATAAGAAAAAAGCAAGTAGGGGCTGGGGATTTAGTGCAGCGGCATAGCACCTGCCTGGCAAGCGCGAGGTCGTGAGTTCAACTTCCCGTGCCGGAAAAAGAAAAAAAAAAACTATAAAAAAAAAGAAAAAAGCAAGTAAAATGCAACAACCTTTAATGTCTAGCCAAAACATTTTGGATTTTGTGCTACAGACATCGGGAGAACTATGAGGAGTGGGTTGGGGAGTGTTAGTGTAGGATGAAAAAAAAATTTCCCCCATGGGATCTGTAGTGAATAGGGCGGAGAGAGGAGACCATTTAGCTTCAGGAATGGAAACTTCCATTTAATTCATGTTCACATCTGCTTAAGGCAGTTGTGGCTCAGTAAGAATTGCCTAAATCATGGTACTCTACTGCCATTCCTTAGCCCACTTCGTCAAAGTAATTTGGAAAGGGACGGCGTGATTATAAGAGAAAAACAAAAAAAAGGGTACTGTAATAATCATAGATTAATCTTCACTTTACAGATGATGTGCCTAGTTCCAGACAAATGAAAATAGTTGCCCAAAGTCACACAGCTGAATGGCAGAGCTAGGACTGAAATATAAAAGGTTTTACTCCGAGGATCAGAGTCTTAAAACATGAAACTTCTTATGGTTATAAATTACCTGTAATATAAGGAAACACATCATTTTAGGTAAATTGAAGCTACTTCCCCTAACTAATGCTGCTTTACCGTCTGGACAGACATGTAGTTACTAGTTTTGGCTGGACACTTCTCAACAGGCCTGAAAGTTGGCTGTCCTGGTATCACCGGCACCAAGTGTCCCCTGCCCGCAAGCTGTGGCTCGATCTCGGGTTGGAGCTGGTTCTGCCATTTAAACCAAATGGCTTCGATGCTTCAGATGGAGTTCTTACCTTACCCTGCCTTCCATGGATTCAAATTACATCAGTACTTTATCCCTTTAGTCTTTCAACCTGATTTGGTAGGTGGAATTCTGTAATCTCTTTCACCTCATGACTGAATCCAAACAATCTGCTTACTGCCTGATTGAATTCGCATTCTTTCCACATACTTGGTATGGCTGTGAGCCACAATCCTAAAATCATTCTGATGACATGAATGACTTTTCACCACGAAATGTTTCCTCTGTCTTTTGCTTTCCTTCCTTTTTCAGCGCGGGGGGGGGGGGTTAATATCGTGTTGGGCACTCTTTGCCAGTGAGGTTAGGAAGTGCTTAGAATTAGGGCATACATCGTTGTTGTCTTTTTTTTATTACAGCAAGTAAGAAATTTTGAGGTAAAAATATGTAGTGGTAAATGTAATTTTTATTTGGCTCCCTGTTTTATTACTTTTTCCAAAGAAATTGTCAGCCATTCCCATTTGTAAGCTGAATCCTGTGAGTAAGGCTCAGTGGGATTGGCTTGACGCTGCTCTGATGATCTCCGTAGAATTGTTTCCAGATCATCTCTGAGGAATTGTTTCCATAGAGATAGATAGAACTAAGGGTTCCCAGCTGCTTTTTTCCCCCTCTTTGTCTTCCTTTCATTCTTTGAGTGCTTTCCTATTAGCATAGAGATCCGAGGGACCCTGGAGGGGATATGTTAGAGACCCACCCATAATGTGAGAAGAGGTGAAAGAGAAGGAAATCCGAGTACCCACACCTCCCAAAGGAAAACAAGGCAACAAACTCGTGATAATGTGTTGCACCATGGAGGTGGAGAGGAAAATTCCATGCAGAGCCTGAGTGAAAGAGAAAGAAGGAAATTGAAAGAGATTGCACTGTTTTGGGGGAGGGACAGCACGTTAACCAAAGATTGGTTTACAGTAGCTGTTCATATATATCTCTATGTGGTATTGTCAGATACTTTAAAAACTGGATTTTCATCCATTTGCCTATAAAGCTAGATTATCATAACCAATTTGCCTACATAAAAAGCAAACCAAAACCAACAAAACCCACAGAAACTTTTTAGGACTATCTGACTAAAGTATTTAACATCTTTTGAACACTGACATTTAGGCTTTGTGAGCTGCTTATACTTTGACCTGTGTCATAGGCATCTACTGGCTTTTAGAGTGTGCTGATTTCCTTTGGTGTGATTCAACACTGCTTCTCAAAACCAGGCCTAGCCAGGCATAGTGGGGCATGCCTGTAATCTCGGCACTCGGGAGGGTGAGGCAGAAAGATCACCATGAGTTTGAGTCCAAAGCCAGCTTGAATTACAGAATGAGACCCTGTCTGAACAAACAAACAAAAACAGAAGAGACCAGGCCTAATCTCAGTTTGTATTCCTGATACTTTCTTATTTTTCTGAGTCATGTCAGTGTGCACTATAGGGCTATGGAAACCAAAAGGTCTCATTTAATTTTAATAATTATGTACTAAGTAAACAAGTATAAACTCAAAAGGAAGAGAACATCTAACACATTCTCTAATTTTTGAAAATAATTAAAAGTATTGAACATTCTTTAAGTTCATTGGTACATTTTAGGTATACATAATGATCACATTCATTATAGGGAATTCGTACCTATACATGATATAACTTGATTCTTTTTTTTCACCGTTCCCCTACTCTCCCTTCAATTTCTCTTCCCCTCCTTAGCCACAAAAGCTTTGTTTCCATTTTTTCCTACAAGTGTTTTTCCTAATTCAATGCTTACCTCTGTTGATGTGTTGCTGTTGATGATTACAACTTGCCACAATGTTTGTCTCAATTTTCCTGGCTGGCCTTGATCAGGTCATGTATTTTCTTGAAGATTACCTCAGGTTTGGTAATGCAAGGCCCAAGAATGTGTTTTTTGAATGTTTGTTTTGTCTTTTTGAGACAGGGTCTTGCTATGCAGTTCAGGCTGGCCTTGAGCTCACTTTGTAGCCAGGGTGGCCTCAAACTTGCAAGGATTCTTCTGCCTCCTGAGAACTGGGATTAGTGTTTGTTTGTTTGCTCTTAGAAGGTCAGCCATGGGGCTAGGGATTTAGCCAGCAGCACAGCGCCTGCCTGGCAAGCACAAGGTCGTGAGTTCGGTTCCTGGTACCGGAAAAAAACCTAACCAAAACAAAAAACCTCTCAAAACAAAATTGTAACTTTCCATACCTGGTTTAGGGGCCAGGCGTGTTGGCGCACGCCTGTAATCTCAGCACTCGGGAGGCTGAGGCAGGAGGATTGTTTCGAGTTCAAGACCAATCTGGGCTACAAAGTCAGCTCAAGGCCAGCTGGAACTGCATACTGAGACCTTGTCTCAAAAAAAAAAAAAAAAAGAAAGAAAGAAAGCCAGGTGTGATGGCACACACCTATCATACCAGCACTAGGGAGGTTGAGGCAGGAGATTCCTATGAGCTTGAAGCCAGTAGGCTGGGCTACATAGTGAATTCAAGACCAGCCTAAACTACACAGTGAGACCTTGAGGTGAGAGGGAGAAAAAGAAGAAAGAAAAGATATGGTGGACTCAAGGATTATAGCTTCAGGAACACAGAATTAGTGAGAAGAACCTTGGAGACAGTCAGCTCCTAGGGAGAAGAAGGCAGAGTAGGCTGGCTCGCTTTTC